GACGGCATTTTCAACGCCGATGACGCCGCGTGGAGAGACCAGCGCCGCGCCGCCACCGCCGAGATTCACTCCTCGCGCTTCGTCGAATACTCTGCCGATACCATTCGTGAACTTGTGCACCAAAAGCTACTCCCACTGCTCCGCCGGCTAGCCGAAAAGTCCACCGTCGTCGATCTCCAAGACGTGTTCCTGCGGTTCACGTTTGACAATATCTGCACGGCGGCTTTCGGGGTGGACCCTGGCTGCCTCGCTGCTGACTTACCGGAAGTTCCGTTCGCGAAGGCGTTTGAGGAGGCCACGCGGTTTACCCTTTTTCGGTTCCTGGTGCCGCCTCCTGTTTGGAAGATTATGAAGGTGTTGGACGTGGGGACAGAGAGGAGGCTCAGGATTGCTATCCGTTCCGTACATGAGTTCGCGGAAAAAACGGTACGAGACCGCAAGGCTGATCTTTGCTTTAACGAGCGGTCAGATTTGCTGTCAAGGCTCATGAGTAGGGAGCAAGGATACTCTGATAAGTTTCTTAGTTTCTTAAGGACTTTTGCATTAGCTTCATACTGGCAGGGAGAGATACTAGCTCGGTAGCGCTGGCATGGTTCTTTTGGTTACTTCATAAGCACCCTCGCGTGGAGCGGCAGGGGGGGCAGATTCTCGCCGAGATATTGGCGATAATAAAGCAGAGAGGAGTCGCTGCAGCGGCGGTTGAATTGGACGAGGCGGTGTTTACCGTCGATGAGTTGAAGAGGATGGAGTATCTGCATGCGGCATTGACGGAGTCTTTAAGGCTTTATCCATCGGTGCCAATGGACTTTAAGGAGGCGTTGGAAGACGACGTGTTGCCGGATGGGACGAGGATAAGGAAAGGCGGAAGGGTAATATACTTGATATACGCTATGGGGAGGATGGAAGGGATATGGGGGAAGGATTGTATGGAGTTCAGGCCGGAGAGGTGGTTAAAGAAGAGTGTTTTTACAGTGGAGAACCCGTTTAAGTATGTTGTGTTTAATGCTGGGCCGAGATTGTGTGTGGGGAAGAAATTTGCGTACATGCAGATGAAAATGGTGGTGGCGGCGATGCTGCTGAGGTATAAGGTGGTGGTGGAGGAAGGGCAGAAGGTGGTGCCGAGCTTGACGACTACGCTTTACATGAGGGATGGACTTAAAGTGACGGTGGAAGCAAGGAAGCAAGGAAGCAAGGAAACCGGGCGTGAATAAGATTGGATCATGCTTCCAAATAAAAAATAAAAATAATAAATGAGCTATTAATCAAGTCTTAACAGATTCTGTTGCTAATTTTATAAGTCGTGTGCATGTAAAACTGTGATAATGTGAATAAGGAGGATGGGGAGAGTTGGGGATAGTTAAGCATGCAGATCGCTCTAGTATAAGGTGTGGTCCTTTGAAGAGAAAAATATTAACTCGGTCTCTTGAATTTAGTTTTCCACCGTCGCCAATCTTTTGAGCGAACTTTTATATATATATATATGTATATATATAT